ATGATCATCGTGAAACGATGAATCACAAAATGTATCATAAAGTCGAAGAAAAACTTCACTCGAACTTTGGATTATGTACATCTTAATTCTGATTTCTTTTCTTTATTTAGGATCTGGACCACCCGTATCTCATCGAAATTATATTGGACAAGGTAGCAAAAATCGTTCCAGGTCTCAAGGTCGTTATTCACAGAGAACAGGACAACAACCTCTTGTAGCGAAGTCAAATAATCAACAACAAGAGAGATACATTCGAAAACCATGTTCATCAGAACCTTATCCATAATTTTTCGACAATTCAATTTGTCGCTCGTAGTCAATCAGAATATATTCAACCTATTCTAGACTTGTTCAAACATTTTTTGCAATTTTTCTACAAAAACAGAATAGATGTTTGTTTTGGCTCTATTAGAATTACGCGATATTCTAAAGACGAAGATATTCTAAACTTTTCAAAAAGTCAATCCTTCACATTTATTCAAAATTATAGTTTTCAAATGTTATTAAGCGCAGGATACCGTTTTCAAGTGAAAATGACGAATGAATTTCTAGATGAACTAAAAAACTTAGCCTCAAAAGGTGATGATCCATTTTATCGTGTTTCCCTTTATTTGTGGCGATATTCAACAAGTAATCATTATTTTAATCCACTTGATGAATTAAAACACGCATCAAAAGAATATGATCGGAAATTAGCTGAAAGTCAATATGAAATGATAAGTACAATAAATATCAGCTCAAAGAAATATACTCACGTTCCAAATGTAACAATAACACCTACAACAATTCAAATTAAACCGTTAAAGTTCTGTCAAACAAATCGAGTTATACGTGAAGTAGACCAATTTGGTCCATCTACAAATTTTGCTTTGGTTGATTTAAGAGAAGAAAATGGGAGAGATTTGCAAGCATACGATTTTAAAGGACTACGTACACTATTAATGAAATATTTAGATAAAAATGGGGGTTTTGAAATTGGCAAGAATCGATGGTACAAATACTTACATCATTCACAATCTCAATTGAGAGAAAAACAGTTTTGGTTTTATCATGAAGAAAATGGGTTCAAGACATTAGAACAAGCCTACAAATGGATGGGAAACTGTAAAGAAAAAGTGGTTGCTAAATATTCAGCAAGGATTGCACTCTGTTTCACAAGTACAGACGAAACTATTGTGGTAAACGTTCACTTTTACAGAGGATTAGTACTGCATCAACTTTTTAACCTTTGATTTTAGATTCCACAAGCAAAGTTCTTGCTTGTTGATGATGTAAAAACAGAAGATTCAAAATTTAATTTTACAGACGGTTGTGGCACTATTTCACCAAGCCTATGCAATGAGGTAACCTTTCTCTAAACAACTTTTACACTTGCATCCATCGCATCAAATTTGTGACCTAAGCCTCACTCGGGTCAGAAATGATGATATTGTCAAAACAATTAATTTTGATAAAAGTGCGTAAAGATATAGCCCTAGCGAGAAAACCTATGGAGGTGATTCCTTCTGTTTCTAGTGATTATACGTCCATCGATAGAGTATATCGCATTCGTGTCTGAATTTCGTACTTTTACATTTTAGAGAGTAGTACTTTTTCGGTTGTTAAATATTCATATGATGGTTATTAGCGTATACTGGATGGGCCTATGTTCAGGTTTTCAGATATTCCTAGAATAAGAGTAGTTACTGGAAGAACGTAAATGCTGTGCGTATGCTTGATGAGGCGATATTCAGGTTTTGAGATATCAACAAAGTGATTCTAGATAATATAAATAAAAACATTCTGAAGGACGATGGAATTCTTGTGTGCTCAGCTATCAAGTTTTTGTCGTTATATTCAAAGAATAATAGTAGGTAGTAGGAAAACAAAGAAAAGTTTTGTTATGCCTGGGAGGCATTTTGCACTGTTTCACTCGTTTAGTCCTTTCTTCTTCACGTCCATGCTATCCATACTATTCATTCTTTAGTATATGCATGTACATATACAGTTATGTTTACTATTTTCTCTTTTCTTTCTTTGTTATGATTCAATCCTTTTCTTCCGTCCTGATTTTACTGTGAAAATACCCGTTTCGTTTGACTGTTTTTTTCGATCACTTTTATTCGTTCCTTTGTGTGATGTAGAGTGTGTTTTTATATATACTTTTTTTTCGTGATAATATACTGTGAGAAGATTAGTGATCTTGTATGTCCAGTAAGCTTTTATATCATTCACTGGCACTTAGTTTTTTGTTAGTTGTACTACAGGACACGGGTCTTTGGAACTGATTCATCCATCTGATATAAAGCATAACATAACAAGTTTGTGAACTAAAGTAATGTAGTTCTACAGTTGTTTGGATGTTTGGTGTTCTTGTTTTTTTTGAGACGCGATGTATGTGTTTGTTACATTGTGACGCGTTCCTTCATTTTATAGTAGTAGTGGTGTTGTACACTATGTATGTGCTGTCGTATGGTACGGTCATTACGTACAGAAGAGGCAGAGAGTGAAATGAGAGAATTAAGTGTTTCGACGACGAGAAGTTAAACACAAAAGTAAACACTGCACTATAGTTTTTATTATCAAAAAATATTATGTACTTTTTACTTGTTTTGTGTTTTCTTGTATATTCGTCCGTCTTTCTCAAGATGTGGGTAATGGCAATATAGGCCTAGTTAAAGAAAGTTCTGTCTAATGTAAAACATAGAAGAGGAGAAGTTGTGTGTTTCGTTGTAGTTCGAAGTAGTTAAATAGAAGATTAGTATCGTATTGCATCACAGTTTTATACTTTTAAAAATGCGGCGGTATTTTCTGCTGTGATAATACGGTCCGTCCCGTATACGCTAATAAGCATCATATGAATATCTAATAACTAAAAAAGAACTACTCTCTAAAATGTAATCTGAATATCGAATATCTCTGTATCTGAATATCGGAATATTACACCATCTCTATATCTGAATATCTGAATGAGAGGAGAGTGCAGGTTCATGGGTGAACTGGTAGAATCTATCGTGGAGACGACATTCAGATATTCTAAATACCTAGATATTCAGCTAAAATGTAGATATTCGCAAATCAGTCACATGTCGTATATCGAGGTAGTAAAACGCCTAAAAGCATTTCAGCCGGTGACTCATCCGTCAAAAGTTAGCGCGATTTTTCTATTCTTCCATGTTTCTAGGAAAACATGGATGAATTTAAAAAATTTATAACTCTGTCAAGAAAAGTAGCTAAGAGCTCAAATTTCTTTCTATATGTCTGTAATATTCATAAAAAGTTCTGGATTTACTAAAAGTTCTACTGTTCCTATGAACCGATTTTAACAATTGTTTTTTTTATTTCACTCCTCTTGCAGTGTCCTACTTACACACCAAATTTCATCTTTCTAGCTCATCCCTTGTCAAGTTACGGGGCTTTAACTTTGAAAAAGTGCGGTTTTTCGGGAGGTATGGGAGGGAAAATGCCTTTTCTGTGAAAGATTCATTCAAAAAGTGTACGTAATACTAAACTTAATGTGCAAATTACCAAGTTTGTTAAGCATGTGCAAAGGCTTTGCTCATGTACTATACGTAGGGGCAAGTTATTGAAAAAAAATCACACAATAGCAAAAAAAATAATCCTTTATTGTTCTGAAAAATAATCTTTTGTCGTTATAGAAGTTTCTAGAAAATTCCAGTTTTTTGGACATACACATGCGTATGGCGGCAGTTTCTAGAAGTTTTCTAGAAGGTTCGAGAAGATTCCTGATGTAGACATTGCGTATTATATATATATATAAATTAGCCTTTGAAATACACAAAATATAAAAGTTAAAAACTAACTAGATACTTTTGAAGAATATTTGTAGTCTTTGGAATAAATAGATACAAATCGCCGCTTTCAACGTTTTCGTCAATAAACATGGATATTGACTCAAAGTTGAAAACTTCGATTTTTCGAAGTTTATACTAAATGTAGCATCTGCTCGGGCTAATATTTCCGCAAATTCAAATTGGAAGAGTAAGTTATATGTTGGAAGTATATCCA